GTTTAGATTAGATATTAGGAAGAAATTCTTTACTTTGAGGGTAGTGAAGCACTGGAACAGGTTGCCTGGAGAAGTTGCAGATGCCTCATCACTGGAAGTGTTCGAGACGAAGTTGGATGGGGCTTTGAGCAACCTGGTCTAGTGAAAGGTGTCCCTGCCATGGCAGGGGTGTAGGAACTGGATGATCATTAATGTTCCTTCCAACATAAACCATTTTATGATTCTATGATTTCAGCTCTTCAGTATGTGCATTAATCAGTCTCAATCACTCTCGGTTATCATTAATATTTTATTGTAGCTTCAATACTTAGCTTCTTGTAGCTTATTGTAGCTTAAATTTCTGGAATTAGTCAGCACGTCAAACTCACATGGCTTCTGTTGGGGACAGATAGCAAGCATTGGAGAATATCCTATCAGAGAAAAAAATAAAGGGTTAGTATTGAAAGGCAACAAGAGAAAATAATGTCAGAAGTATGTTGGAGAATTATCAGGCTATGCATAAAATATAAATTGTATAAAGATTAAAATCGAGGGGAATGGTCTAATAAATATAGTTACAGTGAATAAAGATGTAGATAGATTTTATAAAGAACCCACTAGAGTAGATACTTTACTTGCTGACTTCAAAAAGCATTGTTTAATGAACATTACTTGCCATTGCAAATTACACTGAGCATCAATCTGCATAGCTAGACCCCTTCATATGTGTATAAATGTGGTCTTTACATATAAAATTAATTATATTTTAGATATTTTAATTTGGAAAAGGAATCAATGAAAGTCTCTTTGGGATAAAATGTGTCTGAATTCTTATGAAATATGGATTAATGGGAGTAAAATATGGCTTCACAAATATCATGAATTGACATATTGCAGCATTTCTAATATTAATCTAATTTTGTAATTTAATATTTTAAATATCAAGTAGGGTTTTTTTTTATTTGGAGTCCATCAATAATATTTATTTTATACAATAAGGAAAAACATAAATATTTATTTCATTATTCATATTTTTTCAAAACCATTTCTTAACACATAGCAGGCTTGAAAACTTCACTGTGACTGATTACTGCAAATTCCATTGCTTATGCTTTGAAGTGAATTGGATTACTTTGGATTTACACTTTAAGGGCATAGAGTACACTAATAGGCTTTAGCTGCCCTAAGCAGCCTCACCTGAATCTTCACCCATCCACTCTTCCCATGGGTGTGGAGCTTTCATTGAAGCTCATGCCAGGACACATAGACCTGCCCTGAGCTGCATTGCAGGTTTCCCTGAGGCCAGAGCTGTCACCTGCTGTGCTGGTTCCAGGGGTTCCTGGACAGACCTCGAACATATGTTGCAGTAGCTTTGTTTCCACTCCTGTCTCCTGTCACTCCTGAGGGAATCCCAGTGATCACCCCAGACTTTTATCTCATCTAGGACTGCTGATGGACCTTGTCCCTGTCATGGCCCTGCCTTGATGCAGTAGGGTTGTACCTTTGTCAGAGAGGACACCGCTCTGTCCATGCCACAGTTGCTCTCAGCTCTTGACTCATACTCTTCAATGGACCACCTCATACTTTTCCACTGAACTATCCTCTTCTGGACTAGACCAGATCCCTTTAACCAAGGGCTCTTGCTGCTCCCTGGAGCAGGTGAATAAAATAAGAAATTTTCCCTAGTAAATTTACATACAATATCAGCAAATTAGACACAAATTTATGTTTGCTTGAATTTTGTGAATCACATTTAATGTTTTGAGTTCTCAGGCCAGAGAGGACTTCCACACATCACTCATAAAGAACTACGGGTAAATTTTTCTACAACGTATTTCTTGCATAGTTCTGAATATATTCTGATCTGTTAATATTTTGCTTATGTCATAAACAAGCCTAATATATTAATAAAAACTACCTTTCAATTATAATCCCTTTTCAGAGATTTAACTGCTATGTTGTAACTACTGTTCAAAATTTATTTTCAGATTGCATAATTTGCCAAGTATATTCTCAAAGCAACTGTTGATTTAGGTAAAAAATCAGAGTCAAAAGGACTGTGAAAGAAGACACATCCACAACCAAAATCTAAAATTAGGCAAAGACAGATCATTCTTGGACTATTTGATGCCTACCTTGGAGTTAACCTCTGGGGGTGGGGGAAGGGAGCAACATTAACCCCGTGGTGAAAATTTGGGCAGATATACTATATACTTTACATCCTCAAAGAAGAATGCAAGGTAATGGAATCTGGCAAGTGGGTGCTTTTCCATAATGAAAAATCAATCAGTTTAAGTGTTCCACAGTATAAGTATCACCATAATGATATAAGGCATCATATACATGGTTTCTAAGAATGAGCAAGGTGAGTCATGAGATATGTGTCAGCCATGCACAGAGTTCAATCTCTGAACTATTCCTGGAGTCAGATCAACTATAAAAAAACTCTACCTTCAGCTGTTGAAAGCAAGCAAGCATTTAGGTGGTCATAATTAACTGTGATCCAGCCCTAGATTAGATTAAAAAATGCCACTAGGGTGGATTCTGCATATTAAGGAATCTATCTGCTCTTCTGACTGAGTTTGAATTGTGTTTGTCTTGTTAAGAATTCCATAAAATTCTATGAAAATATAGGATTAACTCTATGAATAAAATTTCCAGGATCCAAATTTACAGCAATATTTGCAAATGAGAATCATTTTATGATAAACAAATCATAGGCAAACATTCAATAAACTGGGGGAACTCATATCTCTGGGTTGTAATTATATGACAGACATCCTTTCGAATTTTAGTGGACCCAGGATTTCACCATTTTTCTTGCAAACTGTTTTCTGTACTACATGGTAATTTTGCCCTTGCTGCTTTAACATATACCTGGCAATTTCCAGACGAAAGATATTTTCTCCCAATTCAGTTAAGCAGTAATAAGGTCTCATAGTTCCACTTGATCTCATCCTATTACTTCCCTATTTCTTTGTTCTGTTGTTCCCATCATGATGTCCTCAGATAGTATAATTTTTCCTGCTTTCTCTTAGTGGCACTGATATCTCATCCTTACCACATCCAATTAATCTCTGCCTGCATCTGAAAAAGATATTCCCCCATTCAGATTGACTCATCATTTTATATCACTCATTGCCTCTTTTCCTCTTTCTTTGTTTTTTGGTATTTGTTCTTTTATTTTTTATCCTCTGCTCTTTCCTTATCATGGAGCAAGATGAAAGTGGCCTTCAGGTGGAAGTCACAAACACAACCTACTTCTCTGAATAGGGAAGAGATTGCTTCTTTCATTCACAAAAGTGGAAATGTCTCCCAAAAAATGGGGGAACAGGCAGAGACTGTAGCAGGAAATGGTGAAAGACAGTGATGTCTGAGACAGTTGACACTCTTCAGGAAATGATCAGACATTTTAAGCTCATGGTCTACCTCTCTGTTGCTTCTGTCTTATGACAGAAGACTTCAGTCTTTCATTTTCCTTCCTATTTTCTCTACTATACAACAAATAATTTTTGCACTGTAGACAACTGATCAAGGCTTCAACAAATAAAAGATGTAGCATGAGGTGTAAACTTAGCTTTACCCACAATCTACTTCTAGGAATGCAACACAGACTTTGTATAGTTGGAAAAATTTAGAAAATTTACAACTTACTATTAGCAAAACTCTTTCTGGAGCGTTGCATTATATTATGCAGAAGTCACACTTGCAGTTAGATATTAAGTAAGATGATCAGAACCACCTGAATGTAGAGGAAGCCAAAGCTTCAAACTAGTTTACTGAACAATTATATAATTCACCAGAGTCCATATGGAGACAGCAATGAAAAAGTATAGCAACACAGCTGAAACAACCAACCAAACAAGAAAAACACAGCATTTTGTGTACTGATTACCTCATTAAAGAACTGTTCATTAAAGAATTTGTCATTTATCTTCATCTTAGTTGTTGGTGGTACAGGTATGACAGATAAAGAGCAACCAGTTAGTTTCATTTCTTTTATCTTTATGTCACAAAAATCACAGAGCAAATTCATTTTCACCAACTTGGTGACGTGGTATACATGATTTTAGGATAGGACTTCTGAGGAGATTGTGTAAATGGAAAGGAGACTCAAAGATTCTTACCTTTCACTTTCACTTGCCTGAGAGTTGTTCCCCACTCAGAGCAGTTTGAAGTGTGAACAATTGCCAATTCTTTAAGTAAAATGAATGAATATGGTAAGAAGAGAACAGAAAAATGCGAAAAAAATATCTTCCCTCTCGTTTCAAGGAAATCATAAGTAAAAGACTTTGACTGGGGGACTACAGAAATACAAACTCTTGAGCTGCTTCAGTTTAATTCCAGAGAATAAAAGGAGGAAAGGTGGTACTGAAGAATGACATTAGCATCCTCACTCATTTTAAAAGGAGAGATCTGGTTCCTACAATACTTTTTGTTTATTTTCCATTTATCTGCAGTTGATGAGGTTTCCAATTGCAATGTATTTGAATCGCCGTGACTAGTTTTGGTTACATGTACAAGACTCATCTTCCCTAAACATTATGCAGCATTAAAAATAGCTAACTAACTCCACAAGTACAGTCCTGCACTCTAATTCTGGTTCACTAGAATATTCATAGACAAACACAACCAGAAAATACAATGCTGAAGTGAATTAATTAAAAATAAAATAATATTTACAGAAATTCTTCCCTATATTCATCAGCTTGTTTTAATGAAAATTACTTGCATAAGGAGTAGGTTACTCAACACAAGGTCATGCCTTTGTGTGCCTCGCTTCACTTGTTGTTCTAAACAGCACTGTGTCATACTTTTCTTTTTTATGCCATACATCTATTGCTCTACTTATATGAAAGGTTTCTAGCTATACAGACTATTTAGAAGGCCCTAAGTGCTCAGAGGGGTTGTTTCTTCTTCCCTGTCTTTGTTATCAAAACTGAGTCAATGGTCTTCCTGGCTGTAGGTATTTAAGTTAAACAAGACCCACAGTTTAATACAGCAAAGAGCAAGCAGAAGAATGACATGGTGAGCAGTATCACTGCTTGACTTTAAATGATCTCTTTACAGTTGCTTTCACAACAGTGGTCTTCAATAATGTGGACCAAGGTTCAGAAGTGCTTCTGCTCTTGCATTTTTCCCTCTCCAAATGGCAAGTGGAATATATTCCTGGGGAATAAAAAAACAGAACAAAAATTCTGGAAGAGGTTACCTACGTTCATGTACCAGAAACATTTTATCTTCCCTACTTATTTTATTCACCTACAAATACAGAGAAAATTATCTAGAAAATAAGCTCTTGTGGTCACTATTTTTAACAATTCAGAACCCTCAAGTTCATGTTTTGAAAAGGGCAGCAGGATGCCCTAAAAGATAACTACAGTCTGATTATTGGCATCTGCATAGCCTAAAAACTTTTCCCTTTTCCCATCTGCCAATGCAAGTTTAGAGACTGTACCGTAATTGTTACACAGACCTATGGTTTTCAGAAAATGAGATCACTTCCCAAGGCTGTACATGCTGTAATTACATCACAATCGTATTATTGTCATCATGTTCTCAGAATGGCAAGTTCATAGTATTCCAAGCAAGTACATTTTTAATCATTAAATGAAAAGCTTTTAGTTCCAAGAGCTACAGAAAAATGTATCATCTGTCAGCAAAAATGAAAGGAGAGAAAACTAGCGTTTCAAGAAGTAGTCCCTTTAGTCAGCACACTAATGCACTTCACAAAATCCCACAAAACTTCACATCCATGTACTGCAGAAATGCAGGCATTTCTCTGTCCTATTTTCATTCTGAAGGGCTGGAAGTAGTAAAAATTCTTGCCACAGAAAAAAAAAAACACAGCAAAAGCTTCTATACATATTTAAATCCAGACCAAATATCAATTTGCTATTTTTCTAAGGTTGATTCCATTGTTTACTAGTAATTCATTAAAAAGGTAATTCAATGTGTCAGTCATTTGGTCAATCTACTCTGCTTTCAGGCAGGAGTAACTTGAATCATTCTTACTTTTTAGCTTTCAACTTTTTAACTTACTTTTTAACTTACTTTTTAACTATCTTGGTTTTAAATTAAGTCAAATTTATCCCACAGTGATGGTGGATAAATGTATTCTTTTTATAATACCTGCACATTTTCATAGAGATCATTACCATGTTCTCTGCACCATCCTTTCTAGAGTATACAAATCCAATTTTCAGTTGAAGACAAAAACTTTTCTCATGTGTCTTTAAATCTCCGATCACTTTGTTGCTCTTTTCTGATTGTTTTCTCTGAGAGAATGGTGCCCAAACCTAATTTCTAGCTGAAGCCTTGCCAAGACTGAGGAAAGAAGTAAAAATATCACTCAGAGCTGTCAATTTTCCATGAACCATTCCCAGAACGCCACTAACGTTTCTTGGCAACATCTTATAAACCTTAATTCAGATTATGGCACGTCTGTACTTTTCTGTATTCTTTCTTGCATTGCTCTTCCTCCTTTTATAACTGCCCATATAACATCGTTGCCAAGCGTGGTACTTGTATATGTCATCATTAAATTTAATCAGATTTGGGAACTTTTCTCTGACCTATGAGGATCTCCAGAATACTTGCAAACTCTACAAATATTGTGTCATTTTTCAGTTGCGTGGCTACGCCCTTTATTTCATTTAAGTTATTAATGCAAATATGGAATAGACCTTCAGAGAAGCTGTTTCTCTGAATGGGTCAACTGGGACAGACAAACACCATCTTTTCAGTTTGACACAAAACTATCGAACACTGAACTTTATCATCTTTTTTTCAACTTCTGGTAATTTAATCTAAACTGTGTAAAATTAACATGACAGTATACTGTTAGAAACTTTACATTAAGAAAAAGTATTTTTTTAATCACCTAGTCATGCATTATGCCACGTTTTCAGACTTAAATCCCTACTACCCTACATGAAAAAAATATATTAAACTGATTGGTGAATATACCAAGTCAAATAGAAATATTTGTTTTGTCATGGCAACAAAATGCTTTGGTGGGGAACAAAGCATTCAGCTAAAACCTACAATGCAATGTTATGTAAAATTTGGAACTGAACCATCAGATCTTGAAAACACGAATTGTGAACTGTTTTGATCCTATGGAGCGGTAAGAAAATGGAGATCCTTAGGTGCCAGTTTGATACCATGATGCCAAATGTCATTGTATGAAGTACTGTCAAATAACTTGAAATTCCTGTGGGTTGGAAAAGTAAGTGTCCAGTCATAATATTTTAAAGAAAAAAGTTAAGCATATGTGGTATGTCTTGGCAAACCATGTTAACTATATCATTATGATTTAAAAGGAAAAAAGTTAGTAAAAATCCAAGGAACTGTATAGCACAATCACTTTTGAATACTGAAGTAATCTCATTAGACTGAAGACCTAAGTTCCATAGACTTTGCACTTACCTGAAATTCATATTATGAAAAATAAAACAATATTAATTTTCAAGGTTATTAGTGCTTCTCTTACCACATAGATGTATAAGCTGGTCTCTGATGCATTATCAAAGTATTTGGTTGTACCATGCTGCAGGAAATTATTTAGGCTAAATACAGATTTTATGAAACAGGTCCTTTGGCAGTAAAAATTAGTCCCATTGAAAACAATTAAAGTATCACTTTACAGCACGTCAAGCTGAATCCTCATCTGAATGCTGGAAATTATTCTGTCTGCTTTACACATTTTTTGGAGCTGAACTTTTGTGGTGGTATAAAAATGTGTAATTAATAAGGAAATTGTAGATTTTGCATATAAGTTTTTGTATTGTATTGTATTGTATGTATGTTCTATCCATTCATTGGTTGATATTTGACACAGTACCATATAAGGTTATGTTCAGCCCCTATCTTCTATGATTGGTTGTAATTTGCATGCTCCACCTAAACCCCACCTTCTGTTCCAGTGCCTTCCTTACCCATGTTATTTAAGGCTGGAGCCATTTTGTGTAGTTCTCTTTTGTGCCCTTTTTTTCCTCCCTTTAAGCAGTTCAGTTGCCCCGCTACTTTTGTAATAAAATCACCTTACCAGCTGCACCCAGAAAATTTGTGGAGGTCTTTATTCCAAATTTTTAAGCAAATGATTTTTAATTCATCAGTTATTTGCAAAGCACTTACTGGAACTTTCCAAGTTTTTTATGAGTCTGCATAGATTCATAAGTCATCTGATAATTACTTATGGTCCCTGAATATTTTCTATATTATCATGTACGTACAGATGTATTTGAATTCCTCATCTATTTTCTTCAGACTATTAATCATTTATGTGGTTTGTGGATATTTAGATTTTTAACTCTTAAATTTTAGTTTTTGAATGTTCCAATGATAAGCTTTTCTCAGAATTACATTATATAAGGAAGAAAAACAACTACGAAGCTTACAGTTCATAGAAGTATAGAATGGTTTGTGTTGGAAGGGCCCTTAAAGATCCTCTAGTTCCACCCCCATGCCATGGACAGGGACACCTTCCACTAGACCAGGTTGTTCAAAGCCCCATTCAACCTCGTCTCGAACACTTCTAGGGATGAGACACCAACAGCTTCTCTGGGCAACCTGTTCCAGTGCCTCACTACCCTCACAGTAAAGAATTTCTTACTAATATCTAATCTAAACCTACTCTCTTTCAATTTAAAACCATACTCCCTTGTTCTATCACTACATGCCCTTGTAAGAAAGTCTCTCTCCACCTATCTGGTAGATAGACAGTTACACACTACAACTGTATGTAGGTTAACATCACGTAGATAAAAAAAATGAAGCACAAACAGCATAAAAATAGCAAAATTACAACTAAATTTGAGCTCCAGTCTCAAAGTTTTAATGATAATTAAAGACTAGACTAGTTCACTTATTTGGTTAATAAAAAATGGTAAACTTACAGATTTGATGTTCCAGACAAGGTAGAGTTGGTAAAATGGAACTTGGCTCAAAGAATAAATCATAACATTTCTTTTATTTAAATCTAATCTCCATTGTCTCAGTTAGTCCATATGTACATATAGATAGATAGATAGACAGATAAATAGATATAGATATACAGATATATAGATATGTTCTCACTAGCATACCACGCATACGTTTCACACTCATTTTTTTTCAACACTAACCATGGATGAACATTATATGTTTGAAGAGTACCTCTATGGGTTTGGGAAAACAAGAAGTTTCTGTCCCAGAACTCCACCTCTTACTCTACTTTCTGGCAGCTCTCTGGATATTTGTGATTAAAAACAATTATATATATAAGTAAGTCTCTTTCTAATTCTCCTATTTTTACTTTGTTTCATTTTTATTTCATGCTTTCCAAGACAGAGCAATGAAATAGATGAAATGTAAGCCTAGTGTTTGCCAATATGCCTGTGGGATAGGTTTGTCCAGTTCCCATAAAAAAATTAATGAGAACTAGGTGTTCAAATCTGCTAGGTTCCCTTGAAATTTAAACCTGAAAGTAGAAGTACTATTTGGAAGGCTCTCTCAAGCTAAAGGTTTAAGCATAATTCTTCTTCAGTTATGCATGAGCAAGAACACATGCATAGGATTTTTACTGGAAGATTCCTTAATGATGCAGAAATACTGTGTAGCCAGTTCTTTCGGTTTTATGGAGTGTCTCTCAATGCAGAAGTTAGAAGAAAATAAAATTTTGAAGACCAGAAAATTCCAGGCAGAGGAAAGATATAAAAACTTGTATGTCTTAGATTAAGGAAGATTTTATATACATATATATATAGAAATAGTGGCTGTCCTAGAGAAAAATAATATAAAACATTACAAAGACCGGGGCTGTGTTTGTGCTCATACACTGTATAGAGCAGAACTGGGGTGAAAGGGGGTGTGGGCAGGTGGAGTGTGTTGCAAAAATCTTCAGTAGTTTCTGTGTGACTTTTCTGTGCCTGAGCTGTACAGGTCACATCAAACTGAACCAGTAAGACTTCATAAAACTCTACACCATAATCTAACTACTTTATATATGCTCCTCCCAGAATACAGATATAAAACTGGACTGCTTTTCTAACTTTCTTGCCAGTGTCACTATCACTATGTATAGCCATGCATAAAGAGACTTTTCAAAGTTAATAACCTTCAGTTGTGCCTCACCATTTTATAGGATCATAGAATATCCTGGGTTGGAAGTGACCTTAAAGATCATCTAGTTCCAGCTTTTCTGATCTTCCCATATTTGTGCTTTACCTGTATGCACTAGAAATACAATGAATTTAAATCTATTTTAGTAGCTCTACACACAGCTACAATACCATCACATATACAATACCTAACAGACAGGTTTAAAACGTACCTCTTTGCATGAGGTCATCCCCACCAGAAATGC